CGACGCTTATAAAAGTGGCGGCCGTGCAGCGAATCCACGGACGGAAACGGATGTTCCCTTTTTATTTCCCTCTCGCCACCCCGTACGTGACCGGAGAGCAACGAGTCGAAAACTTTCAGTCGACCGGGCCACGAATTCTCCCCAGGGACGGGATCGAAAGCAATACATACTTGCGGATCCGAGTCTAGTTCGATATCTGAGTTTTCGTTTTCACGAGTTTCCAATATTACTACGAAGATAAAAAATGAATACAATTCGTTTTACGCACGCCAATTATGTTCGATGTATTCACGCGTTTCATTGTAGTTCCATGCATGAAATGATTTTTGAACAAGTTCAACGATAGAATGAATTTTGCACAAGTTGCTTCGCAAAGTTCCAAGTTTCATTCTGCAGATTTCGAATTTTACTACGAAGATAAAAAATGAATACAATTCGTTTTACGCACGCCAATTAATTATGTTCAATGTATTCACGCGTTTCATTGTAGTTGCATGCATGAAATGATTTTTGAACAAGTTCAACGATAGAATGAATTTTGCACAAGTTGTTTCGCGAAGTTCCAAGTTTCGTTCTGCGGACTTCGAATATTACTACGAAGATAAAAAATGAATACAATTCGTTTTATGCACGCCAATTATGTTCGATATATTTACGCGTTTTATCACTTCTATGCGCAAGTTCAATGTATACATTTCACACAGGCGAAAGTTTGATGTCTGAATTCCGTTTCGTAGGTTCAGAAGCAAAAATACATGTTATAATGTTATTCATGTTATACGTCTTTTATCACGGATAATAATAAAATTTGACAGTTTTACATGGATGCACGGAAATAAGAAAGAACTCCAGTTTCACGCTTACAACGATATGTTAACTTATTCTCCCTTTATTTCTTAATACGTTTCCTTCTTGAATTTTGTAACAATCATTTTTCATGGAATTTCATAGAATTCTGGTAGAATTTCTCACTTCTTCTCTCGAGCTCGGTATTTTTCGCTTTTCGGTACATTCTTGCCTCTCGAACCATCAAATATCATCTTGAATTTTCTTCTCTCTCGCCCGTTTCTTTCACGTCTTTTTGCTCCGCCAATGCAAAGATATCTTCCGGAAGATAGCCTTGAACCGTCACTCGTTCTTGAAATAGAGTGAACCGAACGTGAAACATTTCCGGTGAAATTGATCGGAACGTGCGAGATACGAGGAGAAATAATTAGTAACATCGGTTTTGCCATTGTTTCGTTGTGTAACGTGGTTGACACTCGTGCCTCTTCTCGATAATGCTCTCCGACGACGGTTCTTTCGACGATGGTGTACAGCTTCCGGTTAATAGATAGACGCTCGTTATACCGTGAACAATTCGACGTAACGGCGCGGTGGTTAACAGAGAGGAACAGAGGGAATCGTGGAAGCGTGAAACATCGGAGCACGGACGAGCACCACTGCTATTCGACGTAATTAACATGCTATTACAGCTGCGCGTTGTGTATCACTGGCAAACTCCTCTCTCCTGCGACGAATCATATCGAATTTTCCCTCCACCAACCGCTGGTGAACTTTACTTCGTTAGATTGTTTGGATAATTGATTATCCAAATCTAATTTTTCGAGCAGGGGACAGTAACAGAAATTGAGAAATATTAGACAATTATTTCAGTGGAATATTTTTCCTTTTCCTTTTCTTGTAGAGTAGATCTTTTCGAAGTTGTGATCGAATATTCTTCACTAGCTGCAGTTTGAATAATTCTCTGCATCATTTTTCAAGGATTGTATTTTGAGGAAGACGTGACAGAAAATGGGTCAGACATGATTCTTTAATTGCAGAATTAATTTAGTGGAATAAGTACAGTAACGAAATTAACTTTGTTAGATATTTGGATAATTAATAATTTCCAAAAGGGGAAGATATAATAGACATTCGGAATATTAGAAATTGAAGATGTGATTTTTTGATTGTAGAATTATTATTATTATTATTATTATTATTATTATTATTATTATTATTATTAT